TAACAGGATTACTTGCTAAAGGCTTTTCGCCTCCTACTTTATCGACGGTCAAGTATTCTTTGGGATGTTTACTTTTTATATCCTATTCGACGATTTTCTTCTGATTGATTTAGGGACGGACCATTTAATTTTTGTGGGGGTGGGCAATTTCTTTTGAGTGTGAATTTTTTTTTTCAGCATTACTATTTGCAGGAATTTTTTTCACCAAAATAAGTCTATGAAGGAATTTTTTTTTTTACCATTCAATGTTATTTTATTATACCTAGAATAAAAACCTTGAACAAGCCCGAAAGAAGCCCGATCCCCTATTAACTCGTGGATTACCCGTAGCGCAAGGAACGAGTTATTGTGGAGACTGTCATATGCAGATGTGTCACTCGGGTGTCGACACCTTTCGTAATTAGTCGGATCGCACGAAAACTTCCGATGTCAAAACAACAGTTGTCGTAGATCGATCGTTCCCGTTCCGCGGTCAAGAAGTGCTGAGCGTGCACTGTGCCCAGAGCTTTTGACTTTATGATTTTGTACCTTTCAAAGGACGATAAGTTGTCTTCATGTGGAATTTGATGTTTTAGATTGGCACTATGGCCAACTTTGAGACAGAAGTTTATGAATTTTTGAAGCTTTTTAACTCGCCCAGGCGAGCTCTCGATTCTGTCATGAGTCTCACAATTTTTAAACTTTTCTCATGACAAGACTCCCAATCTCATGGTTTTTAGGGAAATATAATTCTGAAATGAAATGTTTCTTGGTTGAATTAAAACGGAAATGTTTACTGTCACTCAATCGTAATTGATAATTCTCCTCATGTAAATGCAGAGAATTGCAAGCTGTACAACGCTGTCAGCAAGAGAGTTCCCTGCGGTTTTGCGAGACATTTAAAATCGTTTTGGCGGTCATATGTTCTTCAATTGCGACGAAATGAGTCAAAGTGCGGCTTTTACCCTCAAAACCCCGCTTATTTTTCTCGAATATATATCTTTTAATTGTTCATAAATAAAGCTCTACCACCTTCAAAGGGTTTTAATTTGCTTCAAAGTGCTTTCTGGATCTGAATAACTAAGCGACTTTCTTTAGTCGGTGAATGTGATGTTTTTCTGCAATGTTGTATCACGTTGGGCCCAGCTCGTTAGTTGTCTTTGCAGAATGTTAAATATCACGGATAGTGATTTACACATCCAAAATTATAAGAATGAAGGGCAGCTTAAACTGAAGTTACATCAACTATGGAGAATTGCATTGTGACTCAGTAAACTCCAGCTTAGTGTTTTTCTATAGGGTAGTGTGAGTCTTTTGACTGTAGCGCGAAATTCGTCCCTTTGCTAATAGCTTTTGAATAAGCTTAACAGTATTTGGACTGTTTTGTTATTGCCACTTTGTAATCAGGCAAGACCATGGTTTCGGTTCTCCACACGAACCTCGTCAGTTGTCGGGTTGGCTTTGTGCTTAGTTGCTTTTACAAGAGCAACTTTAATTAGCTGTTCTCTTCTCCTGGCGAGAACGGTACAGCCGCTTTTTCTACTAAGCTTTGACCTTGACATTAAAACTCGCGTGGCGGATCGAAATTCTTGTTTTCCTACTGGCTACTGAACGTAACCAAATACGGAGTGAAAATTTCGATCCTCTTCTGCTTGAAACTAGAGGTGTGTTTTTTTGGAAAGCATTTCGTGAAAATTTTAGCACTTTCTTTTCTGGGAGAGTTCGAAGACTCTTCTCTGCGCGCACAGAGTTTCCGTACACTCCCTCTAAAAACAGGAGTGGATATATGCGTTCCTTCTTAGGTGCGCAATGTTGAGCTTTCTGTAACAGTTGTCGTGGCGCAATAGATAACGCGTTGAACTTCCACTTTTAGGCCTAGGGTTCGACTTCCGCGGTAAGAATTTCTTCCTTTTTTTCTTTTTTTTTTTTTTTTTGGCCGTTTTGTTTTTCTTTTCCTAGTTTTTTTTTATTTATATATTTATTTTTTCAAACATATTTTCATTTTTTGACAGATTTAAATTATACCGGTAGACTAATTGCAAGTTCATTGTCAGCTTTCATTTCTAAAAAGATAAATCGACTAGTTAGCCATAGGCACCCTTTGATTTGCCTTGGATCGTCCATTTTGTCTTGCTAGACTAAGTTACATGAGTAACACGTTCATCGTTGTAAATCCTTGTTATTCTCAAGCCATCTTGCCGTGTAACCCGTACTAAGTTGTTATATCAAGAATAAAGTGTTTCTTGCGAAACAACAACAGTACGTTTTTTTTGTTAAGGATGTGAATGAGGGCAGCCACAATAGTGTTTATCAAAGAGACTATTAATAAAAATGACAACTACGGTAAATTTATTTACTTTGAGATGATCGAGTCTATTTTGAAAATAAAACTTAATATAATATATTCATCTGAACACACCAAATGGAAACACAGAATTTTGACGCTGCATTTCATTTTGATATTTATTAAGTGAGAAGTTTATGATTCCAAAAGTAGTGTTTATGGCTGTGTAGTGTTTATTGCCAGAAGTGATGTTGGATCAGTTTAGGTTTCTGGGAAACTGCCTACCCACCCGACACCTAACCCATGTTTCTTTCCTTAAGTCACACGTCAGTGAGAAACATGGGTTAGGGGTGGGGTGGATGGACAGTTTTGAAAACGTTTTTCCTGTGTTTCTTTTTTTAATTCAATATTTTAAATTTAGTGTTGCTTTTTTATTGGAAATTTAGTGGACCTTTCAGTCTACCTTTTGAAAGGGGGGAAATTTTGAATGCCGAGAAACTATAGCAATAGGCAATATTGCCTATTACCAAAGCAGTAGCCTCCCACGCAGACGTTCTTAGGGGTACGTCACGCGTTCCCCGGGAAGGAACACGTGACGAACCCCTAAGAACGTCTGCGAGGGAGGCTACAAAAGCATTTAAACAGTTTTAAATTATAACAATATCACCTCAAGCGGGAAGAAATACTTAGTTTTCTTAACTATTTAAGTAAATCTAGATTATTTATAAATAAAATGGCGGCTATTTTCACAACAGTTCTTTAACGGGGCCGCATGGCATAATGTTCATTAATGAATTTATTATTCCAATGTTGAATCCTTTGGTAGTTGTAGATTTCAGATTCATCTACGTTCCTGTATGCATAATGAGCAGTGAATTCACACTCGAGAGAGAACAATGAAATTTCTACCAACTCAGATTTCTTGAATAGGACAATAGCCTTTTTTACAGTTCCCAGCGCCATCTTGGAATAGTAACCGCGCAGACACCATATCGAGGCTCGCGTTGAGTCGTATTTTCACACCTGGTGTGTTTATGAGAACAAAGGACGCTTTCCCTCGCTTTTCTTCGCTGTTTTTGTCGTTTCTTTGATATTTGATTGGATTATGTCGTCTTCAAAGAAAAGAGGTAAACATTAGGGCCATTTATACGAGGAAAAATAAGACGCGTCTTAAATAAGACGCGAACTTTCCGTATAAACGGCACATTTCGTCTAAAATAAGACGCGGCTTAGCTAAGACGCGTCTTATTAGATAAGACATGCTCGTATAAATGGTACAGTTCGCGTCTTATTTTTCCTCGTATAAATGGCCCTATTGTGCCGTTTTGGGCTGTAACAACAGCTATTATAATGACGAAGGGCTCTTCGGTGGCTATCATTTCTTCAAATTCCCCACGAGCCCCAAGCGAAGAAATCGCTGGTGTAATCTCATTAAGAGGCAACATGGAAGAGATGGCTTTACCGTGACAAGTTCAACTGTAGTTTGCAATGAACATTTTAAGCNTATCGAGGCTCGCGTTGAGTCGTATTTTCACACCTGGTGTGTTTATGAGAACAAAGGACGCTTTCCCTCGCTTTTCTTCGCTGTTTTTGTCGTTTCTTTGATATTTGATTGGATTATGTCGTCTTCAAAGAAAAGAGGTAAACATTAGGGCCATTTATACGAGGAAAAATAAGACGCGTCTTAAATAAGACGCGAACTTTCCGTATAAACGGCACATTTCGTCTAAAATAAGACGCGGCTTAGCTAAGACGCGTCTTATTAGATAAGACATGCTCGTATAAATGGTACAGTTCGCGTCTTATTTTTCCTCGTATAAATGGCCCTATTGTGCCGTTTTGGGCTGTAACAACAGCTATTATAATGACGAAGGGCTCTTCGGTGGCTATCATTTCTTCAAATTCCCCACGAGCCCCAAGCGAAGAAATCGCTGGTGTAATCTCATTAAGAGGCAACATGGAAGAGATGGCTTTACCGTGACAAGTTCAACTGTAGTTTGCAATGAACATTTTAAGCGGGAGGACATTGTGAGAAAGTTGTCAGGCCGCTGGGACTTGAAGAAAGGTTTGTGAAATATACATCAACCTTATAGCAATAATGATATGCATATCACATTTCAGTGCAGGTGCCCTTACATTTAGCTCAATCTTTTTTTTCTTTTTACCTTATTTGCAAAGCTTAATATAACGATAGGGCTATTAAGCTCATGAATCATGATTATTAACGATTAAAAGTGCTTTGTTTTTTAGTGACTGTAGTATTTCGATAGCAATCGATGTTTTCCTTCTTTGTCCCGTCTCTTGTTTATCAAAGATAATCCTAGTGTTGTGTGAATAAATGGCTTGCAGTCAATAATGAGTTTCACTGAGGACACTGGACCCGAGCACTGTGTTATTGTAATCAATGTACATGTATTTTTATTATAATTAATTCATATTGTAAAAATTTACACCTTTCAATCAAAAGGTGCTGAGCCATTGCAGTTTTCATGGACCTCACAAAAAAAAAACCCGTAAAGCCCCTGTTGAACGAGTACCAAGCACAGCAGTTTCTGCAGAGGAAACGGATGTAGAAGATTCATTCGAAGAGTCCTCAAATCTATCACTGCCATTGGAAACAGTTTCAGCAGCAAGTGATCAAGCTTCGCCTTCATTCACTGTTGATCCGGATCACGCTAACGCCTCTGATAATGGTGTTATCAGACAACTGCAACAAAAGATTACTTTGCTGGAACTAAAACTAGCTGATTGTGAAGAAAGTTTGAGAGAAGTGAAAAGTGCGAATGAGCTTCTGCTAAGCCGTCAATTTTCCTTAGAGAAAATAATGGATGATAACTCAGCCATCTTTTTTTACACAGGGTTTCCATCGTATGAGGCACCGATAAGTTTTTTTAAATATATTGAGCCAAAATTAGAAAAGATGAAGTACTGGAAGGGAGAGCGCCTTGTGAAAGGGAGTCAGCCTTATCAAGAGGATGAAAATCGCAAAAAAACCAGGACCCTCTAGGAAAGTATCATTTCTAGATGAATTTCTGTTAGTACTGATGCGGCTGAAGGCTGGCTTATTTGTACAGGACCTCTCAGACAGATTTGGTGTAAGCATCAGCCTTGTGTCAAGGATTTGTATTACGTGGATTAATTTATTGTACTATGAACTCTTTTCCCTTTTCCAACCCAAGAGTTGGTGCGCAAAAATATGCCAGAAGAATTTGCTGAATTTGCAACAACCAGAATAATTTTGGACTGCACTGAGCTTTTCATTCAGTGTCCATCTGCAATGCTTGCACAGTCAGAAACGTGGTCTGATTACAAGTACCACAACACTTGGAAGCTACTAGTGGGAGTGACACCAAATGGCCAAGTGTCTTTCCTTTCAGACCTTTGGGGTGGACGAGTGTCTGATAAACAAATAACTCGCGAAGGTGGAGTGCTGGATTTAATTGAAAGTGGAGACAATATCATGGTTGACCGTGGCTTTGACATAAAGGAAATTGTGCCCGAGGGTGTCACAGTCAATATGCCACCCTTTTTAGCGGGACGAGACCAACTACCTGCAGCAGAGACAGAGGAAACAATGACCATTGCCTCTGTACGGATCCATGTGGAAAGAGCAATTGGTCGGATAAAGACTTACCACATTTTAGATGGTAATCTGCACGATGACGATATTTGACTACAACTACCAGAATTCATTTCGGTTTCGCTTTGTTATTTAAATTTGTCAATGCCGCTGAGGTAGGCCTTTCCAGATTCTGCTCCGAAAAAGTTAAAAAGTTGCTAAGAAATATGCCAAAAAGTTGCTCAAAAATTTTGTAAAGTTGCTCGAATATTTTTAACACAGCATGTCTAATTTCAATAACAATTGCTCTGTAATCAACATTAAGGTACAACTAAGTATCTAGTTACAACAAATTAGGCAACCTTTAGTTGAATCTGAGTGGCTAGTCACAATTACTTTCCGCTTTCGGGAAATCGAAGCCTTTTCAGGCTCCACGAGCGAAGCTCCCCTGCTAACTGCAGTTTCAATGGGGTTTTCGATTTCTTCGTCTTCAGGAGACAACGTGGCGTCCGCCATTTTGTTTACATGCAGTCCACAAGCTACCAACCTCGTTCCCAGAGCTTTTCCCTTCTCGTGGGGGGCGCCCCCCACGAGAAGGGAAAAGCCCTGGGAACGAGGTTGAGGCTATCCAAACCCAATTCTTGTCATTAATTACTACGTCCACATGATACCCATTCAAAGGGTAAAAATATGAGTTTTACTAGAAAGATGCTTAGAATTTTAACCAAGAGAATTTTAACTTGTTTATAAAATGGGGTTATTCAGCATTTTGTTTCAAAATAGCCCAAAAGTTACCAAAAAAGCATCGCAGCCCAGTTTCTAACCTTTGTTCCCCCAGAGAGCAAACTCTTGTGGGGAAAGATTCTCCTTCCTCGGTCGGAGGACAACGAAAAGTTTGTTTTTCAGTAGGTCGGCCAACTTTGGTGACGTTTCTCCTTTTCTGGTGGGGGCAACAAACACATTTTTCGAGCTTACCCATCCACTCATAAAATTGCCGAGCTGTGTTTTGAAATTCTGCAATTTATCCGAAGCGCTCGGCTCTTTCGGCTTACTCCCCCTTCGAGGAGCAGGCACAGGCTTTGTTTGCGTACTGCCACTTCCACTCACTTTTGATCCCCTACTTTATATACTACATTTCACAGAGAAGCAATGCTAATGCTAGTTTTTTTTTCTCTCGCCTCACTCGCCTTACGGGCGTGTGAGGCTCGCGCTCTTCGCGCTTAAGACTCTCACGCCATGCTTTACCGATTTCTTTACTGATTTTGAGAAAAAAAAACGATTGTTTTGCAGTCTACTGGAAAGAACATTTTTCTCACTTTCTTTCGGAGAAAGACGTATAATACGGTCAAACATCAGTACTATGTAGTAAAATGTCAGTACCATCTTGTTCAATCCCCGATATCAGGATCTTAATCCTGAGAGCACAGTTTAAAAAAAAAATTCGAAATCGTTAAGAAATACTGCACTACAGCATAAACCCGAATGAAAGATTGTACAGTGTTCCTAGTCAGACTTAGAGTTTGCTTAACAGCAAAAAAAAGGCTGAAATTACCTCTAATTTTGCCTATTTTATCAATATTAGTTGTATTGTTTGTTTCTTAGTTTTCTCAAAAATGCCGCGTACCTCACCTTGACCTTTAAACATAAACTTTAACATCTTACCTGAATGGCAACTTACTTATATTCTTTATTTTATTTTATTTCATTTTATTTACTTTTTATGAAAGAATCCCTTCTTATTTGAACATATCATTTTCAGTAAATAATATCGTGAGCTGGAATTCCTGGTATTGACCAAAACCATCAGAGTGGAATGTTATTAATGCGTAGTTCCCTTTTACCAAAACTACCTTTCCACTAAGTTCGCGCCCACAATATGTACCAAGTGGTCTGTTGTCATCATCTACAATCCTCAAATAATCATACCTACAAGGGAAAAAAAGATGTCTTTTACTTTTCAAGGGCAGTTAAACTGTTAGAAATAACCCTAACCGCCAAGAGAATATAAAAGCCGTTTACGTTCTCCTGCCTCAACTAATCATGTGCGAGTCGTGCTTTATGGTGGAGTTAAGAAAGCTCCAAACGTTTCTGTGCGCCGATCAGATTCCTTCATCTTATGTTGCACTTGAGTCACTCCCGAGCAGTCGGATTGCCGTCGTCTACAAAAGCCAATTAATGTTCAATAAGAGGTTTTTATGTTCTCTTGCTTTCGACCTACTTACAGATGACAAAGGCCTGTAAAAGGGATTTCACTCATCTAAACTCACGTAAAAACCTTGAGGCGTGAAGTCTTAATTTGGATTTTAAAAAAGCTATGGCATTTTCCAGATCGAAAACCATATCATTGGTCAGATCTAGGTTTAGCCAGTGAGAAGTCTCTACACCTTTTGAGCCTATCTACGAGCACCAGCAACGAACATTCGATTTTGTGAATAATAGTTTGAATTTTGTTCATTAGGCTGCGAAACAGCCGACTTCCATCGCTCTCTGTCACTTGGAACATTTCGAGAGAGAGTCGTCTGCGCCGAAACAACAGAAATACCATACTGATGAAGTAAAAGCTGTCACCTGGTCAATGACTAATGAATGCACTGTTTAGGCAGTATTTTAGGAGAAGAAAGAATCGGAGAAATCGTAGAAATTATATTTTTTTCGGAAGTAATCTTTCACAAAATATCATGGTTTCTATCTATGTTACTCTACTTCAATTTTTTATCCGAGAGCAAATGAAACATTTGGGACCCATTTGGGGGATGGTTTGGCTCCACTTGATCTATCAGTGCGGGAAGGGGATCGTTAAAATCTTGCTATGGCGTTAAATTGTGCTTAATGTTGGCAGAAAACGCTGTGTTATGTCAAAGGAATTATGATGGCTTCTTGTGTTATTTCTTTTATCTAATAATTACTATTTCTTTCCAAATCAACATTCAAAGTTTTGTTGATTTTCAGCCTTGAATTAAGCCGCGCAACGCGAGCGTTGGATGGGGTGAACCAAAATTGTCTCAAAAATTCGAGTTTTAAAAACACAGTCTAGCGGATTGGGGCCGTTAAGTGCAGGTACATGAAAGTCTTTCAACGCACAAGAAATGAGCGAAATCTATTTTCCACGCCATATCGACCAGACCGCTAATTTACTGGCAGATACTCTTTAATTCTTTTAAGAATTAAAGAGTATCAGTGTGTTTTACATTCTTCTTCGTGTTATCAGTTTCTAAAGCTAGGTCTATCTTTATTTTAAAATTAGAGGGCTATTCTCATTGGTCGGTGTTTTACCCGGCGGGATATACTTACCTGAAAGCCTGGGTTTTTAGAAGCCTGATTTTGCCTTATTTCTAGGCCTAATAATACATATCCGCTAACTTGCAGCGTACAGACGAAAGTCGGAATTCGTTAGTATGTTTTGACCAGTAAAAATGTTCCGTTTTAGAGAAACAAGTACCACTTGAAGTTAAGTTCCTAGTCTACTCTTACCAAAGCTGAGTCAGCTGAGTGGTTTTCAATTGTTTGAATTGTCATCAGACACGTTAACTTTATTGTACTCAAGCATGTTAAGGCATGGCTCAATTTTTGTTCTCGACCCCCCGCGAAGATAAAGCTGTTTTTTTTCTACGGCCACGCATTTTAATTCTAAAGTTGCAAAAAACTTTGTAGAAACTTTCTATCTAGGCGTTGAATTAATTAGGGTTGAAGTGATGTAGTCACGTGAAACGTGACGTCATAATGATATTCAAAAAGAAATTCAAAATGGGGTGGGAATGGTTGATTACAACTAAGTTTGAACCACGTGTAAATGTTTGTTTTACCGTACGAATTTTTTCCGTGGCCGGAACAGAGAGAATTTTTAATTTCTTAAAAAGATATTAACAGGTGAAAAGTGTCACGTCACTATTTTGCTTAATTGCTAATTAAATAAAAACGTGAGTAACCCATTCCGGCCAGATTCAAGCGAGAAATGATGATACAATAACAAAAATACTGTATTTAATATATACTGTGTGGCAACTCGCCACCCCATTTTTAGTTTTCTTTTCTTTCCAGGACTCGACCATAAGTGGTCACGTGACACAGATATCTGATTTCTTACGTTACAGGAAAATTAAGGCTACCGATTTTTCCGAGGTTGCCAAATTTGGAAGGTTCTGATAAATTTTCACAAAGTTATGACCATTATAAGATTTTATGCAAATTAGCCTCAGGCCATGCCTTAACATGCTTGAGTAAACGGCAAAAGTGAATCTGTACCACGTGACCAAGTTTTCCCTTTTCTTAATCTTTATTGTTCATTACTTCTACAAAAAAGTGAATTGTTTCACGCCAGTTTTACCCATAAGAATTGCTTTGAGCTGTTTTTACCTGCTATTTTTTTTTTATTTTTAAGTTATTCTCAACTTGAATCTGACGTTTGCCGTTTGCCGTAAACGTGACCTAAAGCTGTCTATTGTTAAATTACTTACAGGCATCGAGGATGTAGTTCCAGGGAAAAAGTTGAAAAACTGATTTTCAGCGCCTTTCCGGATTGAATGGAAACGTTGTACACACAGTGCATGTTATTTGGGTATAGTGTTGGAAATCCAGGACTTGTCAAGGCGTTGTTTACCACAGAACCACATCCTATAAATCAGATTGTAACTTTACACGTAGACTTGTGTTCTCTTAATCAATAGAGAGCTTAAGGGACTCGCCCTCAATGTTCTTTTTTCTACGTTCTTTGCTTTTACGAAAGTTTTAGATGACATAACAAACTAAACGAATTATCTAAATCCCACTATTTTCCCACTGGTTTAAAAATGCAATGTGGCAAACTTACAGGACATTACCTGAAATCAAATCCGACCTAGGGTGATTGAGGTTTTGAACACGATAGCTGGATCACGAAATTGCCCCCAAAAAACTTAAACAAGAAAAGTTACCAGATGTTTGGTTTCTGTTTTCTCCATGTCAGCTGATTGGGTGGACGGACAGGAGAAAAATAAGGGCGTATAGTATATTCTGCGCGATAAAAATACATGCCAACCCCCATAGGGGAGCACAAAAAATGCAGACTCAATGGCCGCTTAAGGAGATGTCCGAACACAACTTTTTTCAAGGAAGATAAGTTATTGCAAGTGTGTAGTTCCATATTTTGCTAAAGTTCTCCGTATATTCCTATTAGCATAGTTCACACTGCCAAAATAGAGATCAGACAATGCTCATTGAAGGACCATGAAGAGGTCGCTTACAAGAGGTTAAAACCAATATTGTGCATGTGGTCGCAGTCGCTTACAGGAGGTGGTCGTTTACTAGAGGTACCAACTGTAAGGCCTTCACTGGGAAAGTTTTGGTGTTTTGGTTAGATGGTCGCTTACGAAAGGTAGTCACTCACATAGGTTGGACTGTACAATATACTCACTTGAATCAGCACTCTGAGCTGAACTGTAACACAACATCACCGATAGCACAAATACAAACTTCATCCTCCTGTTTAAGTAAAACTTGATGTTAAGGTGTTGTTCAGAAGGGCGCGGGGGAGGAGGTTAAGCAGAATCAATGAGTTTCCCTGTTGCAATTGTTGAATAAAATAATTATTAACTCTTCTTTCCTTTTTTTAAAAACTTCGAGGAAAAGCATCAGGGGCACCCAACGACGGTTTCCTTCAAAATACGTTGAAAACACTTTTTAGGCTATCCAGAGAACTTTAGATCTCTAGAAATGCATTCTGAGAGGTGCTACAAAATTTTTATCTGTTCGGTAATTCTAGGGGAACTTAAGTCTTTTCGACATTACAAGGGCTTCAGTATTTTTTTTTTCCGAAAATTTTAGGTGTAATTTAACGTTTTACGAAAGTAAGAATTTTTCTGAATCCTCTCTCCATCACATTTTAGAATCCGAAAATTTTAGGTTTCGTTTTTCTAAGAAAAACAGTGTAACCTTGGTAGTAAAATATTAAAAATTAAACTTCTGAAAATCGCAGGGAATTTATTAGAAAAGCTTGGAAAATTGTACATGAATGGAACGTTCATCTAGAAATTTTTAGCCGTCCTCAAGCAAAATAAAATTTTAGGCAATATTTGCTTCTCCGAACAGACATTTTACAGAAAACAGTCGTTAGGTGGCCCTGAACAATACTCTGCGATGGAGTGCTAGAGATATAAATAAGATAAAATTACCGCTTTCAACAACAGGAGGAAAATCTGGTTATTTCATAACTTTAAACAGAATTTGTAAGCCCAAATGGAGAGAAAACACAAGTGACAAAGTTAAGGTTCGCTTTGTTACGTGCTATTTCCGCTTGGTTGGCGGGAAACTAGCGCGCGACTGATTTATTTCAATTTAACAAAGCTCAGTGGCAAATTAAGTGCCGAGCAGTGAGCACAGACGCATTCCAATTGCTTGTCGAAACTTATATGCAAATATCCGCCATAGTACACATTCCACCTGGATGAACCATTCCATTTGGTATTCCCTTTCCCGGCTTTTACAGAAACGAACGAAAATTTCTGAACCATTTGTGTGGATAACCAGTGCCAGGCTTCCCGCTAAGAAGAAAATGGAAAATTTAGTGGCATTTTATGGTTGGTACAACTGAATCCCGTTACTTTTTCTTGTACCAAAAAAACTACCATTTGAGTTTGACGGAAAATTTTGTTTCCTTTTGACTAAGTGGGTAAAAATAATGTTCGAACAATATTTAAATTTTCGCATTTTATAGACATCACTATTCATTCCCTCAAGTCATTTAACGTCTGAAAGGCGGACAGCAAATATTTATGAATTTAGATAATTTTCTTTTCAAATGATCCCCTGGCTACATTTAATGACACCTCTAATTGGCCCGAAGATCACGGCATACGCCATCAGTTGCACTATACAAGAAGTCGCTTTATTCAGTTTAAAAGGAAACTATTGGAAAAGAAATAGTAACACAAAAACGAATTGCTTCGGTCCATGATTATTAACTGATTTTAAAGAAAACAAGAAAGGGGCGATGAATAAAATTACAACCTTTTTAATTTAGTAATGGTATCCCTGGCAACGTGTATTCTCAAAATGACATACAAAAGGTGGCAAAAAGACCAATTATGAAATAACAGTCAGTCCGCTAGAAATAAACATCTGCATCTGTTTCGGGTCATATGTATTGCCGCTTGTTCACTTCCGTTTTAATTGTGCTGGTTTTCGCCTCGTTTTCACCTTTTCTTTTCGAGTATCTCGGTCTTCACCTTTTCCTTTTTGATGATGCTTGATGTGGTGCAATTTTACCTATGGTTTGATTTCATTTTTTTGTCCTTTTATTTGCAATTCATTGTCTTATAATTGTGAGCAAAATTCTGAGAGCTGATTGGCTAACCGAAGTGTATCAATGACGTGTAACGCACCATTTTCAGTTTTTTTCACGCATTGATGACATCTTTTCTCTTCAGCGATGTTCTATAAACATAGTCAGAGTTTTTTAACTTTACATTAATTTACAATGTGATCAAACGTTCATTTGAAATCTTAATATTCAGTTTTACTTATGTTGCTATTTGATAATAAAATATATTTCTAAACTTTTTGCAGCTGGGACCATTGTTGTTCAAATAGAAATCGTCGCTTTGCAATCCAGAGCACTCAGCTTAGTTTGAATATTCAAAGGTTTAGAGACTTCTTGTTCTTGCTCTCTTCTCGGGATGGAAAAAGACCAGACACGAGAGATCGGCGGAAATAAAGCCGAATGAATGAACCCACAAGATGAGTGTACAAAGACGGAAATCTTATGTTACACTGGCCTAGTTCGGTATTTCAACTTCTCCTTTTCTTTAATTTACAGCCAGCCTGTCTGTGTTTTTGCCGGTAAGGCACTGACTCGGATAATTTTTCGCATAATTTTTACGTGCGTACGCAGTTAAATTTTACGGGCGTAAAGACAGTGTATAAAAGCATGGATAATAGAAAGACTGGATAGGAAACTGGCTGACGCGATCGGTTCCAACCCTTAACTCAGTACAACATTCAAAAAAAGAGAATAAAATAAATTGAAACCGAGGACATAGAATTGAACAACTACATGTGCATATTCCCACTTTAAAGAGAAGTTCGCGCGCGAGATTCTTCTGTATATTTGCTCGTGTAGGATATTTACCCGGGCTGGCGCGCAGTACTGACGAACACGGCATTGACGCTACAGTCAGGTTGAGGTCTACTGTTTATAAGTAGACTCGATATAACTTTCATTTTGTCCCCCCTTTTTTTTTGGTATTTTCTTTTTACATAAAGGCTATATGCCTATTGTACTTTGCTTTTAAAGTTTAGCATAAACCACTGGCCTTAAACTGTACTACAAGCATGAGCTCTGATCAACTTCTACCGGCAGCAACTCTTCCTTTCTTCTCAGTCTTATAATTAATGTCAGACGGACATTCATGAAATGAAAAAAGGAAAAAAACAAACAAGCAAAGGAAAAGTAAAGTAAGTTAAGGATATTTCTTTCGTTTCATGGAAAAAAGTTTTTTAAGGCTCAAATACCTGAAAGATCATACAGCATTAGGAATGTTGATCCTGAGTTTTAGCCGCGGGGAAAGCTTGAAGCTGAAGCAAAAATTCTGTTTTATCAACAGGAACTTTAAAACGTTTCCAGCTACTGTTTACAACAACTTTGAAAGCTAAAAGCGTTTGACTGAAACGAGCATTAAGTAAGACGTCAAGTAAATTTGGAAATTGTAGGAAATTCACCATATTGAAATGGATCGATAATTCCTCAGCAGGTTTTTACAGCGTTATAGACTGAAGCTATTAATTATTGTTGTATCCCATTTGAAAGGCAAAAATATATAATAACGTTTTGAAAAAAAAAAGGAAATACCATTTTCCCCCCCATAGAAAAGCACGAAATTTTACCAAAAGATTTCATGCAGATATATTTCGCATAATTTATGCATGCATTTTAATAAAATAACAATTTATGTATATTTTTGCAATAATATTGTGTTTTTTGAAGGAAAAAACTAATAAAAGCAGTTTCCTGTGACATCGCAGAGACCGATAATATGCCTCAAATAATGAACGAAGCAAAACTTTTAAAAACTTTACCGTCAATTTGTGGTTCAACTCCCAATATTTACTTAATTCTAACGCATTGATGGGCTCCTGGTGAGACGCAAGAATTGATGACGACCAGGATGTATTCAATTTTATTCAGGGGAAGCGGATGAGGTGAGAGTAGTTTATAAAATTTTTACACCGGACCCATGTTCATAAAAAATGACGCCTCTTCCGGTACTACTAGGTGCTGATCTAAGGCCAGTTGCTGGATATAACAAATGCACAGTTACAGTCTCAACTTATGCAGTTGCGAAAAAAAAAGCCTGAAAAAATCGGGGGCTTGCCCGGATTAACCCTGACTGCGATACCGAGGCAGGGCTCTAACCAATTTGCGTCGGCAAGCCACGTAACTGGGAGCTTATCATTAAATTTGTTCGTATTATACCCGGGAAAGATGAAGATGAAATGACAAATACATGAATTTCCTATATTGGAACCCCGGAATGAGGAAAAAAAAATGCAAGATTGTTCCTGTTAAAGACGCAACGTATGCCCGCGAAAAGCTCTGCACCAGTATCGTAGAGGTCATTGTTCGAATTGCAGCAACCGAAAGTATCTAGAACGTCTACCATCCTCGAAAAAGCTATTCCAGTAATACTTTTTCGAACAAAACAAAATAATTACCACAATTAATCAAACCACAACAGCAACAACAACAAATTCAAGACTTGAAGAGGTATTTCAGTTAAATATCAAGTGTAACGGTTTTGTTGGTGTCAGCAGCAAAAAGCGCTATTGTAAAACTGGAAGACACTGAGTGCAGAGGATGAGAATAAACTGCGTCAGGATTAGCTCAGTCGGTAGAAAAAAGTTTGACAGCAGAGCGGGAGGCCGTTTGGGTTCGATTCCTGGGACCGGACCAATACCAAGGGTCTAAAAAAAGGCCATGCCTTTGTCCTCGCTGCAAACGGCTAGACCTTCGCTTGCCCTCGGATGAACTCGTATAAAATGCAGTCCCGTTTCCAGTGAGTAGAAGACGCAAAAATAGTGTCCCCTACCAAGTATACTTTCGTGCTAAATACATTGACACTGAAATAGAGTGACTGTATTTTTTTTAATTCACCCCTCTCAGTCAGTATGTTCTCTGGGCATCATCTTGCTTTCACTTAATCTGGATACAAATCGAGAGTAGCCAATTTTGTCAGTTTCTGTATATTTGATTTCAATTAAAAGCTGTAACGTAAATTAAATTGCGTATCAGTCCTTTCTGAGTAATTCATCCAGAATCGCATATCAAACAAGCTTTTAGATCCGCAAGAAATGACCCATCTCCTCCTGTCAAAAGTGAAATGAGAGGTCCCATTGGCGGAAGGACACGCAATGCCTTCCGGGTTATCCATCCGTCCTTTTTTCCTTTTTTCTTTCTCGACAGAGAAAGCTCACATGCCATGTACAGGCGAGAAAATCCCCGTGTATTAAAGACCCTTTACCCTTACCCTCGCCTCAGCAGTAA